AACGATGTCGATACATCACTGATTTTACGATATGAACGCTGACTAACGAAAATGAACATTTGATTTTCTCCGTTTTTCTTTGTCTATATGATGTTTATTCGACGAAACATGTAGTAATTTTCCTACAATTTATCAGGTTGGGGTTCCATCTATACTAATATATAAAGCCAAAAAGTGTGTTTGTTTGTTTGTTCGAACGCGCCAATCTCAGGAATTACAGATATAAATTGAAAAATTCTTGTGTTGTTTAGAGCATTTATAAAGGCTATATAGGCTATAAAACATCGCCCTGTGTCGCCAAGCTACGGCGAGAAATGTGAAAAAAAAATGGGAAAGTTATTCATCATCAGTGGTTTCCGAGACGTACGCCGCAAAAACGGTTCAAGATACGCAAAAAATATGTATAGAAGAATGATTCCTCTCTAAATGATCTACAAAAAAGTTCATAACGTGTTATGTCTCTCTTTTAAGATTAACTTGCAAGAACGACGGGAAGTTTAAGCTTATAAAGATGAAGAGGTTTGCAAAAACGAATTTGAATGCCCAAAATAATGATTCCCGCGGACGAAGTCGCTGACACAGGTAGTAACTATATATACTTTATACACGGTCAAATGTGTCTGTATGTGAGCGGACATATTTATCTTTCGCTTTAAAAAGGTAATAGAAGGGTTTTTTAGCGTTCGTTTGATGTGGTTTTTATAAATAACTTAAACTTCGCACAGGTTTTCAACTTTGTCTCTTTGACAACGTACAACAGATAAATGTTTAACATGTACCTGAACGTTGTATTTAATAATTTTCCGAATGTTAAAAGATTAATAAGGTCGATAGCGCATCTTAATAAACGTGTTATAGATATTTCTCCGCTTTATATAAGTGCACGTGCATCACATTTAACTAAAGGTCAACTATATTTTAAAAGGAATCGAAGATATCCACAAATGTAAGTTTCGGGTGTTCTTTTTAGACGGCGAACGCGTCCGTGGTTTGCGCTAGTATGTTTCCTTTTTCTTTGGAGACCGCTCACGAATGGATCTAAATCTGGAGAATATATTACAGCAATTTGGGGAGAGCCAGAGAGCAAAAAGTGTCCGGAATAGGATTTTGGCTTTTGTTAATCCACTCGTATGAGGGAGCTTCGCTTTGTCCTCTAAAGAGCTTTTTAGAATGTTAAACTCAATTACTTCATTGTGCCGAAATTTCGGTATTCAGTACAATATTGTTAGTAGCTGGTCCGGCAAACTTTGTAATGTAGATGTATAACTTTGTTATGTTGATACGCCTCAAATAAATAATTGGAAATAAATTAAAAATCAATTATTAACTCTGAAACTACAGAACTCTGTGTGTCGCCGTGTCGTAACAACAAAAAAAAATTATAATCGATTTTAATTGACATGTGAAAAATATTAAAGTTAATTGTTTAATAATTAATTACGAAAATTAATTACTTATCGCAATTCGAATCGGTTCTTGACAGTTAATTTTAGAAGAAAGACATTTCACACTTTTTAGACTGTCACTGACATTTTTTTAGAATTACCATACTTCAAAAAAAATTATCTTTCATACATACTTTTTGCTTTCACAAAATCTTCTCGAGCAAGCTATAGAACATTACGCTGCGATCAATAGGGGCAAAGAAAAAGAGGAAAAGTGGAAAAAACGGGAAAAAATTTATCTTTGAGGGTTTCCCTGTGGGCTGGAAAAAAACAGTACAAAATACCTAAGAGAATGTGCAAAATAATTTATCTTCTTTAATATACTTCATGTGGCAAAATAACTCAGCTAGTTAACTAAAAATTAGACCATCATACCAAAACAAGTTTAAACAATGTTCCGTTCTCGCCAGTTGCCACTATCAAAATGATCAAGGACTTTTAATAAAAATTAACGGTTTAAAAAGCGATATATTAGTTAAACTTATTTGAAAATGATTTTTAACTTCGGCCCGACGTTTCGGATGCTTTGCAGCAGCCGTGGTCACGGGGAGACCTCGTCACGTGTCACGTGGTCACGGCTGCTGCAAAGCATCCGAAACGTCGGGCCGAAGTTAAAAATCATTTTTAAATAAGTTTAACTAATATATCGCGTTTTAAACCGTTAAAGTGTTTTATTTAAATGTGTACTACTCGCGTAAACTATAGACAGTATTTGATCAGGGACTTTTTGTTTTCTTTATTGGACAAGAACAATATGTTGTTGGTCTTTCAATTATTAAGATACCTACTCGTAAAGTAAAGCAAGTTTAACGGATTAAAAGAGGCTATCTACATTAAACATTCAGCGTATCACTCGGTCGCTCGGTAATTCCAAGACCTAATTCCAAGATAATAAAGATCGCTCGAACAAATCGTAATTCGTTTATGAGAACTTGATCGACTTGTTTTTATTTTGACTTGATGAGAATAAAATAAAAAAAACTGGAGCAAAAGGGCGAAAAAAAAAATAAAAGAATAGGGTATTACATTCAGGACTTTTTTATTATAAGGTAGGTCAGAAAAGATGGAATTCACTTCGGTGAAATAACAACATCTAATTTGGATATTCGGAAATTCACAAACTAAAACCAAAACGCGATTAAACTTCACGCCTTTTTCTGTGGACGGTGGTTTGTGACCCGTTTCTGATCCAGATTTCCAACGAAGTTCAAGATGTTTCAGAAAAATTATAAATTAATTAAAAGAAATCTTGGACCCGGTGAGGGTCAAACCCACGACCCGTTGATTATTAGTCATACATTGTTGCTATAACACCAGCAAGCCTGTCAAAAGTATAGCAGGTTTGGAGTTTATTATTTAAAAATCGAAAATAAATTTAAAAAAAATTTCGATTTTTAAATTATATAGTGCCTTCATATTATGCAATAACATGTGAAAAATATTAATGTTTTCAAACGTTGGAGTTTATTGTTTATAAAGCTCCCGATCCGCTCCAAACCAGCCAGGTGGGGAACCTGGGGCAAACAACGAAGTCACTAGTCTCACTAATCAGTCTATTTAGAAGGAAGTAGTTGATCAGACTTTAGGCCGGAAAAAATCTATTGTTTCCCTGCGTTTCGAACTAAAGACCTCCCGCACTTAACGCAATTTTAAGCAACAGGCTTAACCATTTACATACAGACGCGGTCTTCTAAATCAACCTACAAACTAGAATTATACAGAATAAAACTTCAAAATACTGCAATTAATTATTTTGAGGCAATATCAATTTAGAAACAGGATTACTGAGTATTTATATTTAAATAAAACACTTTTAACGGTTCGGAAAGTGTAATCTATTAGTTAACCTTAATTACAATTTATTTTAACAGTCGTGGTTCCCACGTGATCAATTGCATGAATTAAATATTCGCATTTTATTCCGTTAAAAGTATTGTATTTAAACCGTAAATGGGTTACCCATTTAAATAGTAGAAGTTTTGTACAATAAAATGGGTCACGTCTAAAAGAAATAAAAGGTGTAAATCTATAGCAATAAACAGAAATTACCTTGCGCTGTCTAACAATAAAAGTGTATGGTTGCATGTATTCTGATATTTTCATAACAATAAAACAGACACTGAATGTGTCTGTTACTTCCACATGGTATTTCGTGCCAGCTAAACATTAACAACGCGCGAATTGAAACATTTGGCGCCATAAAATGTTTTCCAACCATTTCGTGTATCAATTGCCTCGTAATATCATGATCTACACTTTTATAAACGTTATTTGTTTACATAAAGAATATATTTTACAACTGTAAAAAGAACAAACGTGAAATTGACGTTGAAGGTTATATATTAGGCGCAATGACGTACTAAAATCTTACTCTACTTATATCTAAAACTAGCTGTTAGTGGCTTCATTCGCGTAGAATAGGTGTTTCTTAGATAACTGCTCTAGCTAAATATTTTTTCAATACGAACCAGTAGTTCCCGAGACTAGCGCGTTCAAACAAACTCTTCAGCTTTATATATTAGTATAGATTTTTAATTCATACAATGCCATCATTCGTAATAACATGTGAAAAATATTAAAGTTTTTAAACATAAAGCATTTTCCACTAATGTGGTATTAGTGGAAAATGCTTTATGCTTGGTATTGGTAGAACAAGCAATAGTTCCAATCTCAAATATGTTTTACTCAATTATGACTAAGTTGACTTAACCAGTCTCTAGTTAGCGAGTTAAACAGTTCGAAGTTTCAAGGAGCAAAAACCAACTAATAATTCACGTCGCCACCTCCGAACTAAAATATTTACGTCCAGAGCACCTGCACTAGACTAATTCTATTTTCTGGTTCAACTTTGTCTCCCAAGTTATATTAGAGAGCGAATTTCTTATAGTTTCCATTCAAAATTCTATCTCTGGCTTCGAGCCAAATGTTCTAGGCATTAACGGTACGACAACCTCTATTGGTGGTTAGTCAGTGATAGTGAAAATGTTAAAAAGGAAAGCGAAGTTGTAGGAATCGCGATTTATCTCTTAGTCCTTATTTATTAGTGGGTCGCTAAGTCCCATACACAAAGCGCCGTTCTTGGCCTCTCTTTGCTCGATCCTAACAAATATTTCGACTGGCTCGTTAGCTTAATGGTAGCAATGTGTGGCCAATAATAGCCTAAGGGACACATTCTTGAAACATATTGGATTTCGTCTGGATGTTAGGAATATCAAAAATTCCATCTAAGTCACATACCACTGACCACTGTGGTCACAATATGTGGATTTCCGAATAAAGTCTCCCCGTGACCACGGTTGCTGTGAAGCATCCGAAACGTCGGGCCGTAGTTAAAATAATTTTCAAGTTTAAATTAATTTAGTTAAATATCTTTATTAAATATCTGTCCTGCACTTTCATAAAAAATAAAGTTTACAATATGATAAGTTGTATTTATGGTACGAAACATTTTGTACGCTAGTGTAGTTTAGTCGGCGGATTTTATTTATAACGCATACATGTATATACGTTTTTCAATAAGTTGTATTAAATGAGCCTCTTACCATCGATTGCAGATCACGAGGTCCACATCTCGGACCGAGCAAAAATGCCCATGCATCCACACTGTAGCAGTGTAGGGTGACCTTCGCTCATTTCCGAGTAAACACGCTCTGATTCGAGTTGTAGGATGTGAATACGTTGAAATAATAATAATTTAATCGTAGCTAAACTTCTGCAGTCTTAAAAGTTTAAATTTAAATCCTTCAAAAGATATTTCGAATGAAATGAAGACCAACGTAATTCTAAAAGATGTATTTTTATTAATATTCATCGCAAGTTTCAACTGGAAATGACAAAGACGAATAGTAATCTTACATAACATTAACTATAACTGCGTATTATGTACATCACGTAACTATTTTCAGATATTTAAATAAAACACTTTAACGGTTTAAAACGCGATATATTAGTTAAACTTATTTGAAAAATGATTCATCATTGAATGCTGCTGCAAAGCATCCGAAACGCCGGGCCGAAGTTAAAAATCATTTTCAAATAACTTTAATTAATATATCGCGTTTTAAACCGTTAAAGTGTTTTATTTAAATGTGTACTACTCGCGTAAACTATAGACGTTATTTACTTTATCTATTACAAAAACACAACAAAGTCCGTTGCGTAGTTTTAAGGACTTAAGCGTACATACATAGGGACAGAAAAATCGACTTTTTTTTGTGTTTGTGTAGTGATTTGCATTTTTTTAATGAAAGATGAATTTCATTCAGAAACCGTTTTTAATTAAACAATTTATTCACAAAAACAATAACACCTAAAAGTAGCGCGTCTATTTGCGTTTGTGTAGCTGCCGAAATCTTTCTCATACGAAGTGCTGTCTCCATGTCCGTTATAGTTGCGTTAATGACGTCTGCATATTGTCGCAAAGTCGTGAAGACGCTGGTGACGCCGACTGGCGGTGGTCGTGCTTCTGCGCACTCCACTGGCCCCATAGACGTCACTCCAATCTGCCGATCAGTATACAGCCAAGTATTATATACAGTAAAACTAAAATAAAACTTGACGAGCTCGTTGGTATAATGTTAACAACGTATGTCTAATAATCGATGATTACTAAATTAATCATAAAATTCGATGATACATCGATCTAAATACAATTATAAAGTTGAAGATTTAAAGCCCGGCAAAAAGGGGGGGAAAAAAAAAAGGAAAAAAGGAAAAAAAAAGGAACAAATTTAAAATTTTTGGGGGTTTCCGAATAATTCTTCTTTAAATAACAAATGAACATTTCCCAGGTCAGCTATTTATTTTAACTATATAATACACGTCATATGTGAACTGAATAAATCCTTCTTACCTGAACCCCTTCATAGAGCACCGGTCCCCCCGAGTCGCCGGAGCAGACGCCCCGCGACTCCGCCTCCCCCGCCACAGCGCACATGCAGTGGTACCACCGGTCTCGCTCACAACCCACCAACATCAAATCCACTGAGAACAATTCCTCGCCCAGTAGAGTCCGTTCTGTGCGACCGAATCCTAACACCTGCATCAAGTAATATATTTATAACATAACTCAAACATAATTTAAACATTTCCAAAAAAGTAACTAATATATCGCATTTTAATTAAAGTGTTTTATTTAAATGTGTACTACTCGGTAAACATAGAAGTTTTTACTTTCAAGTAGTTCTTGCAGTGACGAGGTAATTATCAATATATACAATTATGACATACATATGTCGACGAAACAAAGGAAAGAAAGAAAACACATGTACTCAAAATAAAACGACTAAAGAGCAAAGTAAATTCTTCTTATAAATTCATGCGACAAATTTTACTAGGTAATCTGTACTTTATGCGAGTACTACAATAAAAAAAAAACTTCTAACGGTTTAATACGGACAATACGAGTTGTTATTTTTATTCCGACGGTTCCAATGCTTTGCTGCATTTCAATCAAAAATATACATGGAAGCGTATTTATACTGTACAACGTTAACGGGCTATGTACAAATGCAAACAAATTAGGTACTTTAATCTTTTTGTGGTTTAATTCGAGGGGGTTGTATCGCCGCAAGCCGGTGAGCACGTCCTCCTGGGGCTTGAAAGTGAGACGCATCTTGTTGCGCGTGCGCACCAGACCCACATCGTTGTGCAGCATTGTCACGTCGAGACCTTGACCTTCGTCAGTTTGCCGGACCGCGTATCTACAAAGAGACACGCGATTACACTAACGCCCTTAATACGAGTTGCAGGGTGCAGAGTATTTTAGTTACTTCCAAGCACAGGACGTCTAATTAACAAGGAGAAGTTTTTCAATTTTGTGTTGTTTAGAGCATTTATCGAGGAAGGTATAGGGCTATAAAACATTGCGCTGTGACTAATAAAACCGAAGTAACAGCGGGAAACATGTAAAAAACGGAGAAAGTTATTGATCTTTATGGATTTCCAATGCGTACGCTGCAAAATTTTTGATGCCCACAATAACTATTCGCGGATGAAGTCGCTGAGACAGTATTTTATAACGGCAATAAAAACTTTTGAATTAAAATTTGCCTAATCTTACGGAGAGGCACTAACTCGGGATGTCGGTACAGATAGTGGATCGGCGTGACGTCCCCATCTGTCGACGAGGGACGGCGAGTGTTATATTTGACGTAGGCGAGACGACGCGAGATGCAATGCGCGGCGGTTATCGCCCAGTTCTCCTTAATGATGGTCGCTGAACATCTAGCCGACCAATAGCGATCCAACAGGGCGCATACGGCCGGAAACTCGTTCAACTCGACCGTAACCCCGCCGAAAACGCGCCGCGACTCGACCCCGTCCGCCAATCCGCCAGTTCCGCTCCTAAAAAACGCATGGCGATATCCGATCTTTATGCTCTTGGATGTGGTCGTAGCCTGTATCGCTACTGAGAGTATCGTGACCAACAAACTCTTAAACATCTTTCGTGGATTCCGAACATTTTCCAATTTAATTTATTTTTGACGTTCTTCTGTCACGCCGCAAGGGAGACAAGGTCTCGTGTCACGGGTTATGCTCAATTCGTTTATTACAAAGATTATAAACTATTGACTGAAAAATAGATTCGTTTCAGTGCCCGCAAGGGATGAATGCTGTGAAATTACAGTGAATGTAGTTATAAGATTAATTTTGTAGAATAACGACAAACAGACAGACAAACGAAAAAAATGTACGAATCTAAATAATTATTAAAATTTTTAAGATAGAAGAAGTATATGTTATATTTTATTATATTTATTTATATTTTATTATTGTTTTTTTTATAAAAATCTTATATGGGATGTTTTGTAATTTTAGTTTTATTTTGTAGACCTAATGAAAAAACTAAAGTAACGACGTAACTACGTATAACGAAATAAAAATTAATAATAAAAACAAAATTCTTTATTACACAAACATAGACATAGGAACATAGACACTTAGAATTATATATACAAAATAAAACATGTTTATGGAAAGTGCAAAAAAAATAAAAAAATGAAAATTACAGTAAAGTAGTAAATGTCAGGAAGGTGTCGATGTAGCTTAGATAGATAGATACCAGTTAGTAAAGCTTGCACATCATTTTATATCATTGTAGTTTCAGTGAATATAATTTCGCCCTTGTCTACAGATGCAAGCGGTGGGCGGGTCGGCGCCGGGCGGGTAGCATGGTACTTCTGGCGCGCGTCAGGGGCGATGAACGGGTCGCTGGAGTGCGACACGGACCTGGAGGTGTCCGGCAGCGACAAGCTGTTCCGCTTCGTTGTGCACGGCGTGCTGCTCAACGCGATTGGGGCAGGTGGCCTGCTTGGAAACGCGCTCGCAGTGCTCGTGCTTTCGCGCCCGCAGATGCGCTCCTCTGTCAACTGCCTTCTGGTGGGCCTCGCCGCCTGCGACACGCTACTTATCCTCACCTCCATGCTGCTCTTCGGCCTGACCGCCCTCTACCCCTATACGGGGGCTCTACGTTACTACTACTACCACGTGTGTCCTCACATCACGCCCTATGCCTATCCGCTCGCAAACGTGGCCCAGACCATGTCGGTATACCTCACGCTCATAGTGACCATCGAACGCTGGGTGGCCGTGTGCCACCCTTTTCGGGCGAAAGCCCTCTGCACCTCATCCCGCGCCAGGTGGTATGTGGTCGGCACGGCGGTGTTCGCCCTTATATACAACGCGCCCAAGTTCTTCGAGGCCGAATTGGTGGCAGTGGGCGACCCGCAAGCTGGCGAGGTGATTTACTGCGTCCAAGCCAACATGAACTTCCGGACGGAGACCTACGTCGCTGTCTACATCCACTGGATGTATCTGGTCGTGATGTACATAGTGCCGTTCACTGCTCTGGCGGTGTTGAACGCGTGCATCGTACGCCAGGTGCGGCGCGCGCAGCGGGAGCGGGCTCGGCTGTCGCGGGTGCAGCGCCGGGAACTCAGCTTGGCCAGTATGCTGGTGGCGGTAGTACTCGTATTCTTTCTGTGCAATCTGCTCCCGCTGCTCACGAACGCGTTCGAGGTGTTCCTGGGCGACGCGTTCGACAACCTCGACCCGCTTGTGAAGACGAGCAACCTCCTTGTCACGATCAACAGCAGCGTAAACTTTGTCATATACGTCATCTTCGGCGAGAAGTTCAAGCGAATATTTCTGAAACTGTTCTGCGCGCGGCGTACTCGTCGCGGTCGCGATTCGCCCGAGCACACGCGCGACGATTCGTTCGCGTCTTGCGGCGAGCGTGTGTCGTTGCGACTAGTGCGAAACGGCACGCTGAGAAAAGCGCGCGGAGGACGATCGCGGAGGGCCGCTTCGCCCGCACCGACCGTCTACTACCCAGCACCCCCCGCCCTTCCAGCCCCTCCACAGACACCTTCCACCGAAGTGTCTGTGACGTCGCTGGAGACACCCTCGCGCTGGAATGGCACATCACGCCTACACTTCTGACCTGACATCACGGCGAGGAGGCGACGCTAGTGAATCGGACTGTAAATAGATTGATAATTATTGAATGGTTTTAGAAGCTCAACGCAAAAAAAAGACATAAACCTCTGGAACGAAAGAAGGTTTCATTATTTAAGTCGACAGTTCAAACTACGAGCTGTTTTGGTGATGGACGAATTTGGATTTGACGTACTATGAATAAGAAACAGTATTTCATTAGTATTAAACGTGCAATATTGGATTATAACGGGAACGCCGTATTTTCCCCTTATTTAAAATATATAATGTGATTTGTTTCCTGATAAACAAGAATGTCTTTAACGACTGTATAACTTATATCAGCGTAATATATAAGATGCAGCTCTTAAAAACTTTGTAAAAATCAAGTAAATGAAATATTGTACATACATAATATATTATCATAATGTTCTGACGTTTGTAATTTTAGTGAACGTTCAACAATGACGCGTGTCCTCTGAGGGCTTAAATAACGTAGGCCTATTTGTAATGTAGACGTTAATAATTTCGCAATCATTAAACTACATGTTCGACATGACTCTTCAATCTATCAAGAAATATTATGTAATTCAATGTATCACTTGTTTTATTTACCTCCTTTGTTCTTTTATGAACCTTTATGCTATTAACACCAGTTTACTATCTCAATACCCTGTTTAAAAAGTTCATAATAAACGCTTTTTATAAAATTAAGTTAAAAGGTGATTTTGAAAACTCATTTGAAAAATGATTTTTAACGTCCCATGACCACGGCTTCTGCAAAGCATCCGAAACGTCGGGCCGGGTAAAAATATTTTTCTAATCAGTTTAACTAATTTATCGCGTAAAATATATTGGCATTCGTCTGGAAATTTGGATATTGAATGGCTGATAGGATTATCAAAATTCCGCTGTCCACAGATGAAAAAGGTCAAGTTGAATCGCGTTTCGATTTCAGGCGGTGGATTTCCGAATATCCTATATTATTCACCGCTACCATGGAGTGAAAACCGTGCTTGTCTGTCCTCTATCACAAAATTGTATAATCCAAAATAAAGAGGGCGCTAGGAATATCCACTACCAACAGCAAACTAAAAATCTTAGTTTGTTATTGCAGTCACTTACGAGAGCAACTTACAAAGAAGCAGCGGCCGGAATCCCGTTTCTTTTATCCTTGTATTGGAAAATACATAGAATACATATCACACACAATGAACGTAATAAAGACGTCGCCAGTGACCTCGTGGTTATATTAAGAAAACAAAAAGCGTAAGGCAAGAAATGGATTATAAGGTTTTATGAAAATCTGTAGACGCACATTGAGTTACGGGGTGGCTCCGGTCTGCCCCATCTAATAAATTTCACTTGACATGAGCATTATTTTCGCGCGGAACGACAAAAAAAAATTCCCGCGATCAGCTTTCCGCCTTTTTTATTGTACTCGTGTCTCTGATTTATATGTCTCTTTAAGCTTGTCCTCTTAATGTAACATTTTGTAAATAACAAATTAAGTTTAAGACAACGCTCTTTGTCCAACATCGCCAATAATAAATAACGATTAATACTAATATTTTTTTTTATACTAATTTAAATATATAATTAATGGCGTAAGTAATGTTATCAAAATGTGGAATATATTTAAATAAAACACATTAACGGTTTAAAACGCAATATATATTAGTTAAACTTATTTGAAAATTATTTTACCTACAGCCCGACGCTTCGGTTTGTAGCGAAGGTACTATATAATGTAGCTAAGGAAAATGTTGCGTGTTCTGATTGTAATAATTATATTAATTTATTAACCAATAACATCGGTATATATAAATACCGATGTTATTGGTTAATTATGTGTATATGTTTCGATGCCATGTCAGAATTAACCAAACCAAGTCATCTAACGGGGCCAGGCTGTAGTTACTAAGTTCCTACAGGTTGCTTTGCAGCAGCTGTAGTCATGGTGAGACTAAAGATAGAGGGTGTCTCTAACGTCAAAGCAAAAATCTATACTTAATATTATAAATGCGAAAGTAACTCTGTCTGTCTGTCCGGCTTTAACTCCGAAACTACTACACAGATATTTTAGAGCCTGAGAAAGGACATTGGCTACTTTTTAATGCCAAAAAAGGTTTGGTAGGTGTTGAAAAGGAAGATGAAAGTTTATATGATAATTCGTGGTTTTTGAAGCTAAAACAATGGAGTGGGAGTGGTATTCGGTGTTGGAGTGAGAGTGGGAGTTACAATAGGAGTGATGTGAGTTGAGAGTGTTGCGGCAAAGTAGCACTTACAAGAAAGATTGGCTGCCTTATTAATTTAAAAATTTACTCCAATTCATAATTCCACGCGGGCGAAGTCGCGGGCACACCTTGTGATGAATATATTAAACCTAATTTTTACTGCTGCGAAATCAAAAAATTCGTAAAGTAAATGAGATCTTTGTATGATGTTATTGCAGTAAACGTAATATTTATTACCGGAGTCGTACTCACACATTCAAAACGTCTTTCAATAAATTATGCCTACATTATCATTTTCAAGGTAGGACAAATATACCAAAATGACTGTTTTGTATATTTGTATGAAAACGAATTACTACACTACGTTGTACATTTACTAGCATTATGCCAAAAACAATATAAAATTAGGCTAGATGTAAGAGAGGTCGTCGTTTCATATCTATTAGGTTAAGTTACGTAGATTTTTAAGCAAACCATTATTCAAGTACTCCATAATAAGATAATACTGTAATGTGAGTTACATGTAAGCATGGGTACGATATTAGGACATAGTACTTCCCTTCTTGATTGATCGTACTATAATAAATCTTAACGAGTCTTAAAGAGTTAAATACAGTATTATTTACTGGACCGACCATAGTACATAGTGTTTAATGTTTATTCTATGTATGCTGCTCTCAGGTCTAGAACCTGTGGTTTACTTTGACTGGCCAAAGCCGTCTTGTCACGTTGACAGCTGACACTCCTAACGTACAATAAATCTTACAATAACATGATGACACTGCTGACTATTTGACAATTGACAGCGCATAGGCGAGGTGGTGAAAAGTAAAATTAACTGGCTAATTCAATAGCACAATAGTGTCAAATTCTTTTGATTGCAAGTTGGTCGCATTAATTTTCAATTCTCAGTTCTTTGCAATCACCTGTTTTGATTATAATATTTGATATAATTTAGAATTAAGTAAGAGGATTGCTCGTTATATGTGATATAAATTGAACAAAGTGACAAAACGATCGACCGACAGCAATGTTGGATGATGCATGCGAACTTAGGGTGATCGTTGAAAACCGGCAGTGAATACGAATCGTGTGTGCTTTTTGTTTTATTGGAATACCAAGCAAAAGCGATCGAAGCGGATATGGCGTCTTTGTGAAGTGCGTGCGTTACACATTTCAGTGATTAAAACTTGGCAAACCTGTGATCGGAAGTCGATGGATATTTGAGAGGCAAGTATTGTTTATTACGCATCCCGACACAGCTTCGTGCAATGACAATAGTAGCTAATATAGTAGACGAGTAGGCGCTTTACGATCGAAAATGTATCCACTTGATTTTTGTGTTAGATAGCGTAAGACATGAATAAATAGAGATTACAGTTAGTCCGCGGCGCGGGCGCCGGGGTCATCGACGCCTCCCCGACTCGTTAGATAATATCTTGTCAATATTGTTATCTCTCGTTGCACGGCCAGATCGATCACTCGATGGTTTTATGTCCCATAACATATTAATGAGTAGATGTACAATTTATGAGGTGCCGCAGATAGCATATCTATTATATTTATGATAAAACTAATCGTTCACACAATCTGCGCCAAGTGAAATTTAATAGTTATGGACAGTGAATATCAGGGATATAGTGTGAATTTTTATAAAGTTGTTGATTACAAACCTTAATTACCTTGTATTTAGTAGTTGCAGAATGGTTGATGTATTATCACGCTTTGTGTTTTGTTTGCTTTGAATTAAACGCTTTATTATTTTCTTGGGTGTCTGTAGCTGTTGGTTATCGCCGCTGCCACACCAAGATGATGGTAGAGACCATCTTGGAGTCCTCGCAGGACTTTGGTAAGTGCAAACAGCTATGCAAAGTATATCCTCGCCATTCATCTGTATGCTTGTTCTAATTTTGCTCATTATCTATTTATAGTGCTCCTGAGTATATCTTAATTTTAGAAAACAAAATTAATTTTCTTTCTCATAATTAAATTTGCAAAATTTTTTTTATAAGATTTTTATTATGTCACTGCATTGTATTGTATAATAAATATGAAGTATTTTTAACATCAAATAATTTGAATTATAGAAATGACTATATATATCAAAAATCTATATTTATATTATCATAAAGATACCTATGAAAAATTTATGATAAGTTGTTATATAAGTGTGCTATTACATATCAGTAATAAACACTTTCAAAGTTATGTTAATATGAATAATTAATTGAACTGAAATTATCTATCACCTTTGATAATAATCATATTGATGGACTGGTTATTAGTGATCCTTATAGATTCTTAGTTCAATTATGTATCTCTTTGATAATAATTCATACATACATACTATTAATCATTAGCATGTTAGTATTCAATGTGTTTGTTCTCTTGTTCATGTTAAAATTTCACCTGCATTTTAAATATTTAGTCTGGGAAAACTTAGTGTGTGCACATAAACTTACAGAACTCTGTTAATTTCATCACTCAGCTGTTAATTCTCAGTGAGCTTATTTCTCGTGTATAAATAGTTTTCTTTTTTTATTTAAATACAACAATTTAACTTACGTTGTTATCTCTCATATTAATATATTAAGTAATTAAAAACTTTATTTAATGTTTTTCATTTTTACATTTATAAACCTAACCTTGCATTTAATAAACAAAATTTGTATGTGTTTGATACATATGACAATTATTGAATATAGGCATGTCAAGCGGACCTCTGCCCCAGTGGAAGCGCGAGCTCTTGCAGCGCCGTGCCGCACGCTCTCGTCCTCCACAAGTTCCACCTCCCGCCCCGCCGCTGCCGCTCACGCCACCGCCTCCGCCGCCGCCCGCTGACGAAGACGAGGAGCTCCGCTACGGGCCTGGCATCGTTAAGAGGCTCAAGTCGCGCTATCTGAGTCTTGCTCTACGGGAAGCACCGCGCCGCCGCCCTTCAGTGCTTCGCCGAGCCGCCTCGCTCGAGCACCTGCTAGATGAACGGCTACCACCTCCCCCGGCGCCTGCGCCGCGCACCTCCGCTCGACCCGCGCGTCCCGTGTCTCTCGCCGCACCCCCTAGAACCTCTGCAGCACCGGTTCGTCGCGATTCTGTTAAACGCGCCCGCTCGGTGGACGCACTGAGTCGCCTAGACGAGCCTGTCGCGACTCCATCGCCTCCTCCTCTGCCTAGACCGCCTCGGCGTCCGGCACCTCTCCTCCGAGATGCAGAACGCCCTCCACCAGACGTCGTCCGCTCGACGCTGCGCAAATTTGAATCGACCCCTGTGCGACGAACCGCGCCCGCCGGCCGAGTCTCATCCGTACTCCGCGGACTTGAGGCGCCTCCCCGCAGTTCCACGCCAGAGCCCAGGGGTCGGTCGCCGAGTCCCGCCGCTGCCGACATTTCCGCCATTGATGAGCCAGAAGGCGCCAATTTGTCTGTTCGAACGAAGCGTGTGTCGAAAGCTGCCCTAGACGGCATCGCGCGCGCCGGCTCCACCGTGCGCTATTCGTTCGAGTCTCCCGAGCGAGGTTCCCATCTACCCCCTCTCGCTGCCACGAACCCTGTGCTTCTGAACCGTGCGCGCCTGTCTGCGTCGCCGCGACGCGTCGGTGTCATCAAGCCGATGCCGGCCCCCGCCCTCGAAGCGACCACCTCGCCTCCGGCTAAAGCCCCTGATTCCCCTCGTCTTGAAACGCCACCTCCGGACGCGATAGAAAGCGTGCCGGTGCCGCGACCAGAGAGAAAAGATGCGCCACCTTCTGCCTTTGTCGAGCCGATCCCTAGAACTCCGCCCACTGAAACGGACGTGAAGACTGATACTAGCGCGTCCCGCGAAACCACCCCAGAGGTGGACCTCAAGCCGGAGCCGAAAGTGACAACGGACGAGTCTAAACCGGCGAAGAAAGCAACGATGAATGGTCACGTGACACCGGAGAGAGTCGAGACGAAGACGAAGAGCCTCCGCGCAGCCGGTATCGAGCGCGCCTGGACCGGTGCCTCCGCAAACTCGGGCGTGGAAGTTGCCTCGGCGGGTCGCAAGCTCCGGCCCGCCGCGCCTGCCGCCACCTCCGTAGTCTTCAACTTCTCCAACCGCAAGGAGGTGCCCGACTACATTGAGAACGACGGCATCGTGCTGCGAGCGAGTCGAAGAAACCGCTTTAAGGTAAGCTGAGATCATTTTGATAATTACATATTAATTATTGTATTAGAGCGATGCGTCGTGGTGCGTTGTCTTATAGGTCAGCATTAAGTTGAGGCCGTTCTCTTGCAATTTCTATTATTTCACAACTGTTGAAATTATAATTAAATCCTTGACATTTTTGGAGCACACGGTGAGTCTAAACTCTTTCGTTGAAACAGGTACATAAGTACCTATCAAGCTATCTATAATTCAACAGTTTTACACTTTTGGTTCCACGCACGTTACTGGAATAAAGCGAAATATCATGTCAGCCCACAATAGTAAACAAACAATGATTGTTCGCTATACACATAATTCGTCTCTCGTAAAGAAAATATAATACAAATACATATGTATTAAACCAAAAACAAACAAGGTTATAAAGAATAACGTGCTTATATATTGTAAATTGATAAAGTTATATTGTGGCCTAATTTTTTTAACGTCTACCCTTTTGGCTGATTATTGTAGCCATTTCTGATTTTATGACTTCTTATTGATCGTTACCCTATATTCATAACTACAATTTTATAACTTGAGTTATTTATATTTTTATAGTCCAAAAATGTCAATCTACAAGAACACAGTGACCGAATATTGTTAACATAATTCTTTCATAAATATAGAACAAATTCATTTTCGCTTAAGTTAATCGCTTTATTCCATTTTGAAACATGTACCTATTCTGCCTCTAGCAGCCTGGACTTTTGACGCCATATTTGTTTTCGATTTAGGCCATTCTCTGAAAAATGGACTGTACTGGGTAACCGCTCTCAGATTGGTTTCGGATGGAACGATATCGGACCATCAAATATTGTCTTGGGCTATTAGCATAAATAACCGATGACACGGGCCGGGCTTTCTAATTGCGAGCAAATTATTTGTTTGTGCGATGAACCGAGTCGCCGATTATAAATTTCGTCCCAGTTTCGTCTCGCTATCTTTGAACTTTGTGCAAAATTGTGGCTCGCTATATAATCAGAAATGTTAATGCCTATTTAAAAGATAGTTCCTATTTAAATAAAACACTAAACGGTTTAAAATGCGAAATGTATTAGTTTAACTTTACAAATTATTTTAACTACGGTCCGATGTTTCTGATGCTTTGGAGGAGCCGTGGTCTCCCCGTAAGCATCCCAAACGTCGGACCGTAGTTAAAATAATTTGTATAGTTTCGCTTTTTAAACCGTTAAACGGGTTTTATTTAATTGTCTTCGCGTAAACTACAGATTGATAGTGGGTAAATATTTGACTAAACCCCTTTTTAAACCCAAAAACCTTTTTTATTTTCCTTTTTTTTAATTTTTATTTTTTTTTTTTTTTTTTTTTAAATTAAAAACCCCAAAACCCAAAACCCCCACAAAAAAAAACCCCCCATTTTGGACAACCCCCCCTTTTTTTTTTTCTCGGGAAAAACATTATTCATCCGTTTCATAAGATATAAAGTATTCGCAATGTGAATATTTATAATTCGTATTATCATTGTTGGCGTGTTATGTTTGTGCGTTTGTTGTTTACAACTTTGTGAAGCATTACACGTCTGACTAATGATATTGGGATGTTTGTTGAATTATTGTGTACCATAGACACATATTTCGTCTTCGCAGCTCAACGGTTAAGCGTGTTGCGTAGCATTGCATAAAGCACAGATAGTCTCGGGGAAATGATACATTGTTTCGGTCGGTCAGGGCACAAAAGTCTAAATAACTACTTGTCATTAAATAAAAATGATCTGTGAAACGGACATTTCTGTGCCCGTCGCACCATGCCCAGGGGGAAACGTTATTTCATACTGAACACAATGAACAAAAAAAACTTTAGTATTTAATTTAAGTGAGGACCTAACAAGGATCATATTATGATGGGCATGTCTATAATATGGAACATTTTGTGTATAGGAGGAACCAAAAAGATGTTATTTTGACCATGTTTGATTTTTGACGGGTTTTTTGATCAACGGATCTCGCGTTCGATCCCGCCCCCACCTGGGCCAATATGTTTCTAATTTTTCAATTTATAATTTTCCTAAAACATGTTGGACTTCGTCTGGAAATCTGGATATTAAATGGATAGTAGGAATATCGAAATTCCGTCTGGGTCGCGTACCGCCGTCCACAGATAAAAAAGCCGTAAAGCTTAGTCTAGTTTCGGGTTCAGTCTGTGGATTTCCGAATATCCAAAGCCGAAATATGTAAGACCGCGTTACTTGTTTAGAGAGGCTGCTACCATCAAGTGACCCCAAGTTTGTCTGTCCTCATCTATCATTAAAAATAACACTTTTAGTGAAATACTTATGAGTCGCTTTTCCTTGTCTGTGTTTTTGTGTAAAAATAACGATTTAAGAATTCGAATTTTAAATCGCGAGAATTTTTCAAGCAAGAAAATGCTTTCGTAGTAACTCCGCTGACCAATTCCAAACTTAAATGTACCACAAAGTCCACTCAACTCTATCACATTATCAGGTGAAATTAAAGATAAATTCTTATCTATCGCCAAATTTTGTTTACGAGAGATTACGTTATTAGAAATCTTTTTTTAAACAGATAAAATTCTCGAAAAGTGTTTATCCTCGTCGCGGATAATACAATGGCTATACTTAATCAATTTAAAACTGATCGATTGATTTTTGTGTTTTTGGAAGAAATTAATAGTCATTATTCAGTTGAATTTTATTGTTACAAAAATTTTATTTAGCCGCAAGTACCAGCTACTGAGTTAGTCGTGACGTGTTTGTAACATCTAAACGTGAATGCGATAAGACTGCGATAGTGCAATGCCGTCCGAAGGCGAGTCGCATTAATTGTTTTCTACTCTTAAACATTAATTTATTTAATCATAAGTAGATTTTATTTTAATTCTAGTTTAGGTAAACAATATACATTTTCGAACACACTGTTAATTTTGTCACGATTCGACGTACTCGTTGGTATGGCAAAAAATAACCGCGTACACATGTTTCAAATTATTCAATTTATATTTTTTCTGAAACTTCGTCTAAAAATCTGGATATTAAATTGCGGTATATTATAGAAATTTCGCCCGGATCGCGAACCACCATCCACAGGTGAAAAGCCGTGAAGTTTAAACGCGTTTCAGTTTCAGTCTGTGGATTTCCGAATATCCAAAGCCGAAATAGATCGACATCGCACCTTGTTTCGATTTTACATGACTGGGGTATCTCACTTTCCATCATGTGAACTCCACGTTTGTCTATCCTCAGCATTCTGTTTGCCAAAACCCAGTTCTGAAAAGAACCACTAAACTGCCTGGTAGTCCGTTGGATAAAGATCTTGTTGGCTTATGTCGAGTTATTTGTTGATTGATTAAGTAATAAACATAGTTACAGCCAGACTCACTCAAATAAAACATTCTCGGAAATGTAATTCTTTAAAGGTTTTTTCGCATTTCTTTAAACAAAGAATTTACTAATGAAAAACGTCTGTTTGCAATAATAAAGTTTTCCAATCTCCTTGTTTTCCCGTTTTCCGCGCGATTTCCTCTATGTGAATCCTATTAAAATCGACAGAGTAAAATAATTTAAGACAATTAAAAACTTTACGGATGAATTTTTTGTTACCTTATGTTAACGTCCCGTCCTAGTGTAATATTATATTAATAAAACTTTAATTAATACAAAATAGTAAAACGTTGTCTAGTATTGTAGACGGCCCGAGAGGTTTGCATCCCGGGAAAACGATGTATTGGTCTGTCAGGGTACAGAAGTCTGAACGGCTACTTAATTGTAAATAATATCGATCTGTGATAAAAGCAGAGAAATATGTTTGCGCCATTCTCCAGAGATTTTTTTAAAATATTAATTTGAAGTGAAAATACATCCTCGCCCGTAACAATGTAAATTACCTTTTCTTCGTCTCGAAAAAAAAACATGTTCGATAGCATATATACATGGCAAAATTGGAATGAGAATATCTTTAATTAGGTTTAATATTACACAGCCGCGGTTACAAGCTAATTGTATACTTACGAGGTATAAGTATGAGACACTTGAACATCCTGTTCCCCTTTTGCTAATTTTGTTTTTGACACACGAAAAGAATCGACCGTTATGACAATAACGTACGGAATAAATACAAAACCCTTATGATTATTATTAATGTATATAAAAATGTAAAAACTAAGACATTTATTGAGGAATTTTTGAGAGGTCTTCGCAGCGCACGCAATGGGAACCCTCAAAAATGAATAATTTTGGTCGTTTTTTCCACATTTTCAATTTTTGATGTTATACCCTCCACGATAAATGGTCAACCAACACAAAAAAAATCACTTCGAACCAGTAGTACCTGTGGTTAGCGCGTTCAAACGAACACTTCAGCTTACAATATTGTTCTAGATAGCCTTATGGTAGTGAACTACTAGCGAAAACTTCTCAAAGATAAAGTAACCATACGAGTCACAAAGAGTGATACAAGAGTGATCCATAGATTTTTTTGTACATACATAATCTTTAACAGTACTTTGGTCCACTAGGTACTTATTACTACTTGTATTTACATTGTTATTACGTACCATACTATAAATTTCACTGCACTGATGTCCAGATTTCAACCTTCGTTATCGCATTTTATCATTCATTTCATAGATAAATATGCTAAAATATTAATATGCGCGATTTAATTTTGCCAAATTTGTTAATTCATTTATTTTATGGAAATTGGTGTGATTCATGTTTTCGCAAGCGAATGTTGTTGAAATGTGTCATTTAGGCGGAAACCGAGCTCGTGTTTGCTGTAAACATCCACTTTGTCATTTGATAGGTGTATTTTGCACTTCTGTACTGGTTAAAGAAAATTTTTTTAAATTGCACACTTGTATGTATGTATATATTTCACCTGTGTTAGTCTATTGCTGTTATTTCGCTTTGTAAAAGGTTCATTAATTACACTTCTGCAACTCGTGCGCTCTAACTTTTTTGAGTGAGGCGGGCAGATAAACGTGGGGTTCAAATCTCGGACATATAA